AGATAGACATTCCTCTGGTATTCCCTGCTTTCAGCCAAGATCCATCTAACATCAGCTACAATATCTCTAGTACCACGACCCCTTCTAAAACCAGCCTGGACTTCTGGTAGTTCTCTGTTGATGTGCTGTCCCAGTCGTTTTTGGATAATCTTCAGTAAAATCTTGCTTGCTTGTGAAATCAGTGAGATTGTTCTGTAGTTTCCACATTCGGTTGGGTCGCCTTTCTTTGGGATAGGAACAAGTATCGATCTCTTCCAGTCAATTGGCCAAGTGGTTGTTCTCCAGATTTCTTTGGACAACTTGGTGAGCACGTCCAGGGCAGCATCTGTTAACTGAAATATGTCAATTGGTGTACCATCTATTCCTGGAGCCTTATTTTTTGCCATTTCCTTCAAAGCAGCCCGAACTTCTTCTTTCATCACCATAGGTTCTTGCTCATATGTTGTTTCATGAGATTCTTCTGTGTCTTCCAATTCTTTTCGATACAGTGACTCAGTATATTTGATCAGGATAGCAAGGACTAAATCTCAGAGAGGATGTGGAGAGATTGACACTCTTATCCAATGTTGGTGGGATTGTAAATTGGTACAACCATTCTGAAAGCAGTTTGGCATTTCAAGAAAAAGCTGAACATAGACAGCCCATATGATTCAGTTATTGCACTACTAGGAATATACCCCAAGGAAATTAGAACTGAGACAGGAATGGAGATATCTATACCTATGTTAATCACAGTGTTATTCACATTCATGAGCAAAAGGAAACAGCTTAAATGCCCATCAACAAACAAATGAATTGAGAAATTGTGGGACATTCACACAAGGGAATACTATGCAGCACTAAGGAATAACAATTTTGTAAATTACTATGTAATATGAGAGATTCTAGAAAACGATATATCGAGATGACTCAGTCACATAATCACAAACACTGGCGTAAGATCATCATTGTAAAAGTAGCAGATATATGCACACCCATGTTTATCACGGCTTTGCTCACAATACCAAGGAGCTGGAAACAACCTAAGTGCCCATCAACAAACGAATGGATAGAGAAGCTGTGGTATATTCACACAATGGAATACTATGCTGCATTGAAAAACAAGGAAGTCATGCAATATTAAAAATCAGTGACCCTGGAGGACATTATACTGAGTGAAGTATCTCAGTCACAAAAGGACAAATACTGCATGGTGCCACTGTTGTAAAACAGGACTGACCTTGGAGTTGGGGAGAGACTGAAAAAGATGGGTTCAATAATATATACTGCCTTGAAACAGAGGAGGGAGAAAACTGTTTAAAAGGGATATGTGATTAGGTATTTTTGTCATGACAGGAGTCTAGAGCAAAGGCTACATGGTGGAGTAGACCTGGGGGAGGGTTTGTAAAATAATGAAAGAACTTGTCTTTTACTTTTCCAAGAGGGTACTGTACTAGAGGGGAGGTTTGGGAGGGAAGAAAAGTGCAATAATGAAAGAATGAAAATACAAAGTCTCTGTAAATTTTTACTGAAATTAATAATAAATTTAAAACAAAAAGAAAAGGAAGAAAGAACCTTCCAGAAGAAGAAGAAGAAAAAAAAAGAAGGATAGCTAGAAAGATGTGTATGAATGTTCAAAAAGGCAAGGGGATAGAGTGAAGGGAATGGAAAAAAGGGAAGGGTGGAAATAACTAGCATAGCAGAGTTTAGTGGGCAGGATGGGGGAGGGGGTGAAGGAATAGGAAAGATTCAATGGGGACTAGAAGGGATGGTGTAAGTAGCCATCAATGGTAATTAATCGTAAAAAATACAATGTATATGAATGATTGCATAAAACACAATGTAAATGAAAGACTGCATAAACACAAGTATATGAATGGAAAAAAAGACCATGATTGAAAAAAAAAGAAGGACAACTGAGCAAGATAAGTATAAATGTTCAAAAGGGGAAGAAGGAAGGAAGAAGAGGGCATAACAAAGGCATAGAGAGAAATCACTAGGATGGCAGAGATTAGTGTGTGGATGGAGGATGAAGGAATGGGATGAATGTGGAAAACAAAGGGTGATAACAGCTATAGATCAATAGTAATGAATCATATGAAATACAATGTATATGATTATATAAAACACACTGTACATGAACAAAACACGATGTATACAAATAATTGTTTTCAAACAAACAAAAATATTAGAAAAAATTTTTCTTCAATGAAAAGTACTTGTATTGTCATATTGGTGTTCACAAAATTTCCTTTACTGATGAAGAACATAGTACATGACAAAGTAAGATTTCAAACTGACCTCTCATACTCAGGCTTACCTACTCAGGTCTTTCTGGTCCCCTATGTGGTACTGCATGGTCTAGCGAAGAACCAAAGTGTGCCCTAGTGGCTTTGCTCATAAGGAGCTTCATCATTAACGCAAAGGTGTTGGTCCCTCTCTGGACACATCCAGAGCAGTTGTGGGGTAAAAATGGCAGTCTTCCCTCCTGTGATTTGCAGCCTTAGAAACCCGATGGAGGGCCAGATACGAGTCAGTTCCGAATTGACAGCATCAAATTATTTTTTATGTTTTTTTTTTTTGAGGGCAGAATTGAACTCCAATTCAAAGATCCTTGATGGTGTATTGCATGGCATTTTGGCTGATAACTGTAAGGTAAGTAGTTTAAATCCACCAGCCAGTCACACCTTGAGAAAACGATGAGCTGTCTCCTCTCAAAAGAATTTACAGCTGACAGAGAGGTCACTGTGAGTTAGTACTGATGGCAGTAGGTTTAAAGAGGACCCAAGAGTTCCTGGGCGCTAGAAAGGATTAATATACTTGGCTACTAACCAGAAGGTGGGTGATTCGAGTCTACCCAGATGAGCATCAGAAGAAAGACCTGGTGAACTACTTCTAAAAAAGCAGTCATTGGCAATCTTGTGGAGCATAGTTCTACTCAGACCCACGTGGGGTTGCTGAAAGAGGAAATCAACTGGAAGGGATTGGTTTGGCTTAGACAGAACAAGTGAGTCAACTAAGATATGGAACTAGCTATGGGAAAACAAACTTCATACCCTACACTCATTTACCAGGTCAGACAAGAAGCTCTGTGAGCTCTGTGTGCTGAAGATTACCATCTAACTTCCTATTCTCTTTCTGAGTGCTGTTATAGTGTCTCTGCTTGATAGACGCTGTGCTGTAGTATCAGCTGTGTCGAGGACAAGAGGAGCAGTCTATTTATTGCCCCTTAAGCATGTAAGCCACTATAACCTTAATACTTCTTTTTATTCATTCTCTTTTCCCTAAAGTGGGGTGAACAAAAGCAAAAACTTGGAAATGGGGGCAAATTGGGATATTTGATCTAATGCTTTTAGAGAATCAGAGGATCAAATGATCAAAAAGGTGAGCTTCATCTATCAAGGAGGAAATACTCAGAAGTTGAGAAGATAAATATGCATGTTGCCTTGAAAAGATACAGAAACTGCTCATTAAGAAAAACTAATGACACAAAGAATAAATCCTCTGACAGTTCTAAAAATACTTCAAGGTTGCAAACTTTTCACTCAAATGGACCTAAAGAGATAAATCCTCCACTTAAACACACACCTTCTGTTCAGTAACACACATTATAAGCAAATTGGAGTTATCAGCCTAAAAAGAAAATGTGTTTAAAACTTTACAAATGTTTGCGTGGATTTGTGACATGCCGATTGAGAGGTAAAGCCTCTATATTATTATTTGGTCATAAACACCTAGTTGGTACTAAACTCAGGTTAAGCATCTCCAAGGGAGGCAGGACCACATCTTAAAAATAATTCAGCTGTGTAGTGTATGTAGAAAACTCAACACTCTGCCAGAAAAATTGTATTTATAAGTGATACAGATATACTCACAGGCATACCAGCTAATAAGAGCGTCCACTCTCCTAAATCTTAATGTCCTAATCCAAACTGTTATAGTTTTGCAAAGATACTCACAGCAGGAAGTGCAAAGAAGGAAATGCCCAGGAGTGCAAAGCCTGCAGAGAGCAATCTTCCCAACCAAGTGAGGGGAGTTTTGTCTCCATAGCCAATCGTTGTCAGTGTAATCTAAAAACAAAATAAATAGAACATGAAACTTAAGTACTTGAGAGGAAAAGTTAGGACCTATGAACAGGAGGCAAAGCAGTATTTCCACTAAATCATTATTCAACAGGTCTTGTTGCATTTTATTACTGTGCTTTAATTTTCCATGACGCAAAACAGAATAGTTCTTTGTTTAAGGAAGGGAATAGCCTACATACTTGTTCCTCTCCTATACCACAATTTTCCATCTTTTCTAAGTGTACTCAAAGAAAGCTTATTTAAGTCGGTAGATAACCACCAGCGACAGAGAAAAGATAGAAAAGCATGGCTTCAGGATGTGTCCCATTTTGAGTTCTTGCTCATTTAGGTTTCACCAGCAACTGTTTAATTTGCTCTTGCCTCCCTCCAGTTCTTCACACACCAAAAAAGAGGGTTCTTTTCTTACTCCCCTCTAAAAATCCTCCATTCGTAATGAATTCTCAGCTAAAGATGGCCCACAAGATCTGGTCTCTGTCTACCTCTCCAAGCTCATCCTGAATTTCCCTTGCTCACTGTATTTACCTATACTGGTCTTTTCACTTCCCCGAACAAACCAAGATCCTCCCTACATGGGTTAGAAGGAATTCACACTGACCCATTTGCTGACCTAGTTGCTGACTTTTCAGTTCTGTTTCACAAAACTCTGAGATGGGTTCACTTCAGAGACTTGATTTTCTGGACTTTTGAGCCAAGCTGTTCTTTTATATACCAGTAGCTGTCCTCAGAAAGGCACAACTATGCTGTGCTTTTCTTTTGCTAGCACATAGAAGGCTCTGCTAGGTTCATCAGCCTATTCTTTGCAAATCAATAGAGTAGCAGTAGCCCTATTGGTGTTTATTCTTCCACAGCAGTGCTAAACAATAAACTTATTCCCACCTTCTCAAAAGTAAATCTTTCTGTGGCTGAACTCAGTAATGATTAATTTAATTTAGGTCTAGAGTCAGAGAAAGAGATCTGCTCTCCCGGAACCCTTGGAACAAGAGCTTGTTTCAGATAATTTTGAGAGATTGCAGAGGTAATATTCAGGGGAGTGTAGAAAATCACACCTGAACTATTTGATTGGAATGGTTTAGAGGGAAATTGATTTGTTTTTAGGAAAATATCTTCACAGATCTCTAAGAACAGAGTACCATTCTGATGACATGGAAAGATGGCTCACACTGTTCTATTTCATCCTAACTACACAGCTTCCAGAGTGGTGGAAAGCAAGACTATGAGCTGAGTGCATATCTAATGAGCAAGAGGGAATGTGAGAAAAGCCTGTCAAAAGAACAGATTTTCCCTGGAGACTTTTTGGGAGCACTTCACCACCACAGCTGAAATGAGATGTGGCAGCTGCTCTACATTGAGTGCTTCAGTGACACCGCCCAGAAGGGCAGGTGGCAATCATTTATTACAGTGTATGGACGACACAGTGATGTGGGCTAGCATCAGGTTAAAGACAGAGCTGATTTTGGAAAAACAAAATCTAATAATAAGGCTTGGAAGCAGAAGTGGTATCTACTTCCTAAATAACATGCCAACAGAGACCCTATAAACTTCAATAACTGTCAAGAGTTGTAGAGCGGCTTCAGGCCTTTTGTTCATGGGATTGCTGTGAGTTATGCTTGACTCAAAGGCAATCAACAACAACAATAATAATAAGGCATTGTTGAAATGGAAAAAAGCAAACAAATTATGCACTTCTCGTAAAGAATCAATCCCTGTAGATTCAAAGAGCCAACATTAAGTATACACTTTTTCCTTTGAAGATACCTCTTCCCTCCCCATCTTGTGTAATAATTGTCATACAGATGTGCACATGACATTAGGAAGCAAGGATTGAGCCCAGTAGGTGATGGTGCTGGAATCAAACTGATTGTTCATCTTGGATGAGCCATGATGATGCTCACAACTAGATTGGAATAATAGAGTTAAGGGGAGGTGGGTTCAAGGTGTTAAAAAAGAATGAAAATGTGGTTGGTTAATGAGTTATTCTCATACTGATTACTTTTTCCATAATTCTTTGGTCAAATACTTAATTGCCCTCAAGCACACACAGTATTAAAAAGGAGCCAAAATATATCAGATATTTTACAGTGTATGTTGTTATGTGTTATTCAGTTGACCCCAACTCCCAGTAACCTCATATTATAGTATGTTGTTGTTGATTGCCATCAGGTTGAGCATGACTCATAGCGATCCTATGAACAAAAGGCCTGAAGCCTTTCTAGAACTATCATCACTTATCAAAGTTCATAGAGTTTCCAGAGGCATGTTGTTTAGGGAGTAGATATCACTCCTGCTTCCAAACCTGTCTTAAACTGGGAGCTCCACTAAACACTGTCCAGCATGGGTAACCATTAAGACATTTGACAATCTTATGGCACAAGGTTCAGCATCATAGCAACCCCAGGTTACCTCAATACAGCATATTGACAGAAGAGTGCTGTACCACTTAGAAGAATGTTCCTCCAAAATATAATAACAACTGATTTTTAAATACAAAGGTCCTCTCCAAGTTCATGTTGAATCTAAACAAGAGACTTAAATAAAAAGCAAGCAATATAGTATGTTTTTATTGTTATGTGCTGGTGAGTTGCCTGCAACGTACAGTGGTCCTACGTACAGCAGCTCTGAATCCTTCCCTGTCCTGAGCCAGTCTCACTAATTCAAACACAGCAACCCTTATTGTCACAGATACTGTACCAATCCATCTTGTCCGGGGTAAGTACTGAAAGAGGTGTTTTTAGGCTGTAATCAATACTGAAGAAGATTGTCAGGTCTTTTCTTCCATGGAGCTGCTGATGAGTTCTAACTGTTCCCTTCTTAGTAATCAGCTAAGTGCTTTATCATTACATAATGAGCGTTTCTTTGCAAAAGCAAATGTATTTTTAAGGGATCTTTGAATGAGGGTGCTCTGGTGGCCAAGTTGGTAAGAAGTTGCACTGTGAACCTAAAGGCAGCCAGTTTGAATTCACTAGCTGCTCTGTGGAGAAAAATCAGCAATCTCCTCCCATGCACTTCAGAGCCACTGAAAACCCCCTGGAAGGTCAACTACTTGATGGCAAGGAGTTGAGTTTGAGTTGATATTTAAATATGTCTGTTCTTTGAATAGTCCTATGATGCCTGTAACATTTTAATGGTTCCTTTATTAATGACAATTTTCTTCTCAACATATGTAAATAAAATCTTTGGCATGTTTTCTTTAATATCAAAGTCATAATTTTATTATTTTAAAATTATTCTTTAACAACAAAAACATCTAGAAAAATTAGAGTTTGAGAGGAAAACATTAAACTAAGGCTGTCTGTCACCTCTCATCTCAAAGATTATTATAATTTTTTATTTTTTTATATTTTTTAAGCTGTGATTATACTCTTATACTAGCATTAATTCATCTACTATTTTTTTAATAACTCACATTAAGTTGCTACTACTTTTAAGTTACTATTTTTATTGAGATCATTCCCGGGAACCATCACAGGCATACACTGGAGATCCTGCAGGTCTGGTGCCAAACTACCACAATAAAGTGAGGATCTCCAGAAAGAAAACCAGACACATTTTTGTTGTTGTTTCTCAGTGTACATTATAGTTATTTTTTCTGCAGCATTGGGCTGAAGCACAATGGGGATTGTGAGTGTGATGCAGGTTCAGGCAAGGTTTTCATCTGTAGTGCATAGGGTCAGTAGGAGTTAGAGGAAACTCAAAGGCATACCATGTAGTCTATGGAGTATGCAATAGTATTATGAAAAGGTTTGCAATATCTTGCCAATCACCAAAGTGTGACACAGAGAGACAAAGTGAGCACATGCCATTGGAAAATGGTTCTGACATACTAGTCCAGTGCTTGGATTTGCTCAATTTATTAATAAAGCACAGTCTCTGTGAAGCTTGGTAATGTGAAGCCACTAAAATGAGGTGTACACCTGTAGATTGCATTCAAAGGAAACATTTTGCAATATGCAACTAACTTAAAAAAAAAGGGGGGAAAAGGATTGTTTTACTTACTGTGCCCCACCACAGAGCATCTGCATATGTAGAAAACTCTTTATTGGCATCCTTTTCCACCAGGTAAACAAGGAAAGATGAAAAAATAAGAACTAAAAATCCGATGTACCAAGCTGTGATTAATTCCTAGGTATGAGAAGAATGAAAGATTTTAGAGGCAAAGAATTTTAGGAAAGAAAAAGAAAATTAACGTTCTTTTCTACTTCTGGGACAGTTATGATGACTTTTCAACCATCCATTATATTTTATATTTCTAAAATGCTTTAATTAACTCTTGAAATTGCTAAATTTACTTGGAAGCCCACTGACGTCACCTCGGAACTGACCCACAGGTGACTCTCTATTGGATTTTCTGAGGCTGGAAAAGGGATGAGAGAGGACGGCTCAATTTCTCCCATGAAACAGGCGCTGTTGGATATAAACTGCCACAACAGCGTGGCATTTAGGTTAGCAGCACAACCCCCTGCTGACTATGCCATAGATCATTAAATACTGAAGCAATCAATTGAAAAAAAAAATGCAAAGATCTTCCTCTAGCATTCAGAAAGCAAGTCTTACCTTGCTGTGAGCATAGACTACTGAACCCAGTAACTTCCAAGTGCCCCCTCTTCGGTCCATGCGCACCATACGGAGGATCTGCAGGAAGCGGAGACTTCTGAGCGCAGATGTGGCAAAAATATTACCCTGAGTTTTTGCAGAAACGACTGCAATTGAAGCGATCAGAACAATAGTATCTGAAAGAAACGGGTTGAAACAGCCATAAGAAGCATGACTAGGGGACCTTCTAAGAATCAAATCCCTATGCACATCCAAAAACTTCTCCAACAGGGTAAAAAGGGAAGCCACAGACTGGGAAAATGTGTTTGGTAATG